GATCAGCTGTGACTCACTGTATGTTTCCCCAAACAGAACAAGGTAAAGTAATAATTTCACAGCAGCATAAAATATGATATATTCAGTAGTTTGAATATAATTCCAATGGACTCAGAATCAGCTTGTCCACCAAACCAACGGATAGAGCAGATTGGTACAGAGTATATTTGCTTTACTAGTTCACTACTACCACTTCAAGTATATGTTTGCTTTTCCAACATGCCTTAGGGGGATATGACATCCTACAGGTGAGAAAACCAGTACAGATAACATCACAGAGATGCAGTTTCTAGAGAAAACCAGGAACAAGGGGGCATTTTGAGTTATTGAGAGATTCTGAAAGGTGTGGATTCTAAGCTTTCTAATGATGTCAAACAAATAAAAAAATAAAAAAATGGAGTAGATTTGGCCATTTGAATGTTGGCACATTACAAATCAGATGTCTGAAAGAACAGCCCTCAAAGCTTCAGATGAATCGTCTCCAAATCCGATGAGCTACAAGAGGGTGTTGGAGAAAGGCTGTTCATTTAGAGCATGCAATAACTCCAACCCTCAGCACTGACTGTCAACAGCTATGACTGGGAAGGTGTGTAAACAACAGTGAGCTTTTGTCTGGTTTATATATATTTTTAGAAGTTTTCAGCTTTTGTTCCATTTCCAATAAGGCTGTGAGCTTCTGTCTAGTGAGCCTTTGTCATGGAGTCGTCTGTGAATAAAACAAGACTTAATACACACTAGAGTGGCTGTTTCTTGGGATTTCCCCAGGCGCTGGTTATGTATATGTTTTCATAAAATATAAAATTTCAAATATAAATGTCAAATACCCATGTAGTTCTTTACTAGAAGTGTAGAGCATAGAAATAACATTTTAGAGCTATTTGTGATAAAAAAAAAAACATGAATAAAAGAAAAAGATAACAAATAGTGGAGGAATAACATTGCTTTGAGACAGTTTTTTTTTTTTTCAGAAACAAAAATCCTCTTTTGGACCATTAAATATAACAATTAAGGCAACAAACTAATTGTAAACACATGAAATGTGATAAAAACAAAAAAGTGAACAATGAGCAAGCACTCATAACCTCCACCTCTTTTTTGCATTGTATTTATTCACCAATTAAATATCATATTAAAAATATATTAAAAAAGCAACAATAGCTGCAGTGCAAGCAAAGAGAATATAAAACAAAGAACAGCTCTCACTGAGCTCCTTTAGTAACAGACCGCTGCATCCTGTGTGCACTAAGGAGAGTTATTGTAGCTCCTTCCTCCCAGAAGCTGTCAGACTCTACAACCATCACAAACTCAGAAGTTTTTCCATATATTCTGGTATTTGCACATCTTTGTTTATTCTGAATAACATCTCTGCTGTTGCACAATTTTTATTCAAACTTATTGACTTTTTGTCTTTTGAATGCCAACATACACATTTTGTACATTTTTAACCTACTCAGTGGTTTTTATAACTATACAGCATTTATGTTGAATTTTTGCTCTAACTGTACAGTATGTAGTTCTTTAATCTGCTTTATATTTTGCATATTCTTATCTTTGTGGGAACTGACTTGCTTTGATTGCTTGGCACTTCGCTGCTGTTGCATTGAAATGCCCCCAATTTGTATTCCTACAGTTTGGAGTAAAGAGCTGATAAAAAAGAATCAGGTTGTTTGTGTTACTACTCCACAACCCGTTCCTGTGTAAGGGGAAGATAATAATAAATACGTTAGATTATGTTAACTTTCAGCCAAAGGTTTGAATGGTTTACATACTTTTAAAGGCACTGTGGGTAAAAAAAAAAAATATACAGCAGAATACAAAGTGAAATTTTGGGGAAATAACATGAATATATATTGTGTGGAAAATGAAGTAAACTCCAAACAGAAGGAGCAGGAGACAAAAACATAAAGGAGACATGACGGTATGGACTCCTGCTGCTTCCGGCACAGTGCTTCTGAAAGAAAGAAATGAATAAAATATTTTCCCTCTAGCCCCCTTTTCTGTCCATTTAATGCTAACTCCTCTCCAGACATCCATTTACTGAGTTTAGGAAACAATGTGGAGCATTTTTCTTTAAAAGGGGAACGATGCGATCACGTCTTCTTCAGAACCTGTGTGTCCATTAAAAGGTAGAGGGTTCGCTTCATGGTGAAATCCTGGGTGTTAGTAATATTCTGAGACAGTAACTACTCATATATCCCATTAGTAAAGAAGCACAAAAAGGTCGCTCATACACAGAGGCAGGAAGTGGACTAACTAATACTGTCTGAAAGCTCTTTTGCTTTGCATACTGCATTTACATTTTAATGTAAAAAAGGTCCCTTTAGAAAAAGGAACCAACAAATTCACTCAAAGAGCATTTTGTTTCACTTTACATGTGTTTTAATCCTGGCTCTATTCCGCATCAGAAAGAGGAAAAAACCTGATCTATTATGACACAGTCGTCCACAAATCCCCACAGAATGTTTAAAACTTTATTTCTTTGAGTCGATGTCCTCATTTATAATTACTAGTCGTAGCTGATTTGTGTTGCACCGGTGCACAGCTCAGTTATTTTTCTAACCTTCTGGGACTAAACAACCAGAGGGTTAACCATTTAATTTTCTGTCAATCTCGTGATCTGAGACTGAAAATTATATTTACTTTATTTAGAGTGAAATTGAAAATAAAGTTGTTGTTTTTTTAAATTTGAAAGCTGTGGTTAAAAATAAGGACATGCCTGTTGCAGGTAACTTTTTTGGTTGCAAAATAAATTTTTTATACGCCTTGCCATTTCTTTGCATGTTGTAAGATATATGTAAAAAGCCAAGTCAAGCATGTAGAGCCACAGATAACATGAACCTTATGTGACATATACTTACCCGTTCTAAAATGATATGTGACATGGTGGCATTGGCGTCCACTATGATGGTGGCCGTCTTGTCGTCACGGATCTCTTTCAGGAGAGGGGTCGGGTCCTGGCTGTCATCCAACATGCGCACTGACAGGGTTTCCTTGGAGATTAGGAACTGTCTGAGCAGCTGCTCCAGGTTCAACAAGCCTGTTGATGAAACATGCAGAAAACACATGTGAGGATCGCATGTCAGAAGACGGCACATTTTAAAACATTCCAAACATTGTTCCATTAGTTCTGTTTTGTTTTGTCTTGTTCTGCGCTACGTTTCAGATTTACTATCTTTTTCTCATTCGTTCTGCTCCTGCCTGCTCCAACCAGCTTCCCTTCATTGGCAATGGCAGCTTTTCTTCCAGCTCACTAGTTTAAAGCCAGCCTAAGCACCTTGCTGCTTCACTATCTTCACTGGGGCGAACAGATGTCACAGTGACACGATGGTGGAAACAAAGGGTACATGAAGGCACTCATAAATGTCAATGCACCCTGCACAGTGTCGCGAAGACAACATCCGAGATGTCAAACTGCCCGACACGACGATAATCCCTCATGCAAAACTAAAACACAACTCCAATCAAACTTCCTGAAATGCTGGTACTGTTGTTCGGTCCAGTTAGAAGGCATCCTGGAGGTCTGGTGAACCTTCATTCATTGCTTAAACTGACAACCATTGGCAATTGACTGCAACACACCGCTCTCCCTGTGATGCCTGTCCTAGATGTGCCAGCTGATTGCAAATTGAATTGGTTCTGTTCGTTGATAGGGATGAACATGGCAAAAACTTTATCACAGTCTAATCACAATTTCATGACATAGAAATAGAGCCCTGAAAGAAAAGCATAAAGTCTTTAAAATAAAAAATAAAAACGTTTAACTGATTTCTAGCCCATTTGTGTAATTTTACAACTGTTGTTGAGTATACCTGATATTTAATATTTGAGCCTTCAAGTGCGCTCTATATTAAGACTGTTCTGCCAAAGTTATAGTTTTATTCCAAAGGTAAACAACAAATACATTTCTCACATTTGAGATTCAAAAAGGTGTTTTATGATGGCGAAAGACAAAAGAGTTTTAAACAAAATCTAATCTACACATACAGATTTGTGTGAAATACATTTTTCAAAACATATCCTTTTTTTTTTTTTACAAAAACACTGGATGAGCACTCTACTGCATTTGTTTATGTCCAGCACAGACAGAAACACAACTTTTTCCTGTGTTTTGGGGAAATTTTATAACTCTGCGCATGTCCGTGCTTCTATATTGTGCACATAATGATCAGATTATTTAATTGACTGTTTTGCACAACGTGGAAACCACGGGACCCTACTTATTGACAATGTCAAAAATTGTCTGCTTTGTCAAGTCTGCATCTGCACCAAGTTAAATTCTGGTCATTAAGTTGGTGTGAATCAAAGGCGACATAACACAAGTCTCAAAAAACTGTGGTGGACTCATTACCCGGATGAGGTAAGCGAATGTGTCCCAATTAAAGCAAGTCCCACCAAAACAGTTCTGGCAGTCAGTCTTACACTAGCCGTTCCTGTGATGTTATTAGTTAATTTTGCATAAATGAGAATAAACACATTTTTAAGGTGTGCTATGGGAAAAATACAAACTGAACAAGGCTGTCAGGGCCAGATTTGTGGTTGCACTGCTGGTATTTACCTGACCTTGAAATTTGCTCTTCCCATCTGTTTTGTATTCTGGTGCCAAGCACAGAGGACATGATGCACAGGTGTGATGTGACTCACAAACAGGGGGAACCTTTATGCAAATTAAGCAATGCTAACCAAGTTCAATCATATTCTGATGGAAAATATCTTTCAGCCTCATTGTTGTATATGGGAAGTTAAAAAAATGTACAACAATAATATTAATATGTTGAAATTACTTACTCTTACCGCAAGTGTGCAAACATTGAAATGTCTTCGGCTTTTGTTTCTTTGCCATCCTCAAATGATCCTCGGACACATTATAATATTTTATGATAACCTAAGTACATTCAAACTGAGGTTTTAAGTTGTTGTTGGTTTTTTTCCATTTATTAAGGGATAAAAGCTATCAAGACCAACCTGATTAAAAAGCAAACATTTCGCTTTTCACAGAATCTTTATAAGAATGGTGACTTCCACACCTACAGAATCAAGAAGTCTTGAAGTCAGGCTAAGAAGGATGAAAGATCACCAAAAGCAACACATCTTACTCCCCCTGTAAAGAAATTCAACAACAGTTGAGAAACAGCTTTTCACAAATTTTATTATTCTTCAAGATGTTACCAAGCCCTTCAAAAGGCTTTGAAACTCGAAAAACAAACAAACAAACATTTGTTTTTTTTACAAAAGGGGAAACTCCGTAGTAGTGTTTAACCTTTCCTGGTTTGGGAACTTCCTACTTGGGAACCATCCACCAATAGGTTCAAGAATATCTAAAGCAGTGCAAACCTAACTTGACGTACTAAAGGAATAAGTCCAAAAGAAAAAAAACTAAACAAACCAAAACATTCACAAAGGACCCACCTCACAAAACCCCAGAATTTCAGAAAAAGAGCATCATAGCAAGAAACGTATTGGCAGTGTGATGGTCAAGAGCTTTTATGCTGCCTCAGCATCTTCATGTGTTGGAAAGAGCTTCTTAAATGTGTCAATGGCCAATTTATATATTTATGTATACAGTATTTATCAGCATTTTCATAACAACTAAAGGTGACATAGAATGGTGCTATAAAATGGCACTATGCCCCTGGAAAATACATAAATTCTGCCTCCCACCAGAAAATCTTTGAGGACAAAGGCTGGCTATGATTTTGTGACTTTACCTTGAAGTTCAAAAACCTGAATTAAAATGTGAACCCAAAAAAAGACATGAACGACTGGGATCTCAAATGTTTGACGGCAAGACAAGCTTGTGTATACGACAGAACGATGGATTTGAAAACTGCACGTTGTATTCATCTTAAAATTTGTGATGATGCAAATCATACACTGCTGGACAAAAACATTTTAATAATGATCGCATTTCTAAGCAAGCAGATATTATTTGAAACTACTTAGTCTGTTAAGCTGACATTTAAATCGGTGTTCATTAAAGCTGAAGTATAAATGTCACTTGTTAATTAATTGCTTATATTTAAGGAAGCAAACGTGTTGTCATATTAAACCTGCAGGCTCTGATCTGAAAACTGTCTCTTCACACCCGTCCTCCGTGTTTACCATCATTAAAACATCCAACAATGACAACACCCTGCTTTCAAGAAATGTGTGCTGCGTTTCGTGATTAAAAAAAGCCATCTGAAGAGCAGTAAAGCACAGCATACGAGACAGCTTCACAAGTCTCACCTTGACAATTTGGCAGATTTCATCACATTCACGCAAAGTTTCCTGATATTGATACAGAAAAGTCGCTGAAAGGACACGACTTTATAGAAAACTGTTTGCATTACCACAGTTACCTGCCTCTTTGGCGTCAACAGATATTTATTGTGATTTTTGCCATGGTGACAGCCAAGCAATTTATCCGTCATGGGGAGACCGATTTTGCTGAGGCTATTTCAAGTTATCAAACTCGTTCCTTCATCTTCTTCAATAAATTAACATCAGCTGCTGCGCTTCTCAGCTACCGACATCATATCTAAGAGAGTCTATAATTATGTCCCAGTCTGAATGTCTTATGGCCCTGTCTGTGTGGCAGTACATCAGTGTATGTGTGTTTGTTTTTATATAACCTGTATGTGATTACTCCTGAGACATCAGTCCCAGCTGCTGCTGGCTTTCCTGTCTGTGTCTGGAAGCTGTCAATTCAGCTTCCGCTGTTGTATTACACTGAATCACTTTGATGAGCTTGAAATAGCCTCTTTTTACGCCGCCTTCCTGGTCTGCCTCCTGTATCCATTGACTACTGTTTTACAGGCCATCAAATACCATTTCGCATCGAGTTTGTGACATTAGATGGTTTCAGAATGCCAGACAGCTCCGCCTGTAAGGTACACGCACAACAACAGAGACACTGAGAGGAAAGAACATGCAGCGCGCTGGATTCTTGTAAGATGTGTTTCCTGCAAAATAAAACCAATTGAATGAACCTTATGCCTGTAGATAGAGGGAACATTTATGAGAGAGGTCTTTTTACAGACACATTAAAGACATAGGAAAAAATAGTAATAACAATAAAAACTGAATTGCATGTGGATTGTTTAAAGATAGCTAATATGTTAACACAACATTTCAAAGAATATCTGTACGCGTCTTCGTATTCTTCTTGCCTTAGACTATTTTTTTGGGCTGTACTACAGAAGAAATAGTTCTCAACTTCTTTGACAGACTTATAAATGTTAAGAATAAGGTCACAAAACCACTTTTGGAATTTAATTTTTATCTGTGATGAAGTCAAGGTCAGGACTGTGAAGAATTTGAAAGTGGTTTGTACTTTTCTTTAGACTACCTGTTTACTGGAGAAATAATGCAGCTGTTTTATCCTCAGATATGAGAGCAATATCTGCTGCTGTCCCTGAACTGCTGCTGTTATTAAAGCTACTATAAATATGAAAAATGGATTGAGCTGATCTCAGCTGTTGTGTCCAAGCCCCAATCATACACTTTTTGCATAGTTGTTGCTAACAGTTGTAATCAAACTCAGCTTACTCGGTTAGCCGCTTGCTATTCTTTCTTTACTGTCTGACCCCAACGTGTTCTTGTGGTTTTCTCAATTCTTCACTTTGTGCTTTACTATTTTATATGTTTACAGATTATCATAAAGACGCAGCAACAAAATCTAATTGCACATTTTGGAAGTTCCAGTTACTGAACTATTTCAGCTAGAAAATGTTTAGATTTGTTTTTTGCATGATTGATGTGGGTGCGTTACCAAGTTATTTATCCTTTATTGGAGACATCGGCATAAATGGGGACAGTGTCATTAAGGAAAAATGTAATTATGAAAATCAGTAATTTTTTAAAATCTATTTTTAATTTAACTCTGCCATTTAGCTTATATTCCATCTGAACGTGACATATATATATATATATATATATATATATATATATATATATATATATTGTTTTTTTTTATGTATGTTTTTTTTTTTTCGTGGGAGCCGAGAGATAAAGCAGAGCAGCAGACAGTAGAAAAAGAAAATACGTCTTTATTTCTTA